CCTCAGAATATTTTGAATGAAGTAGATGTGATTTCCTGCATTTTGGTGTATTTTAACGGGTTGTTCAACGTCTACGTCCTTGTAATTAAAATATTATTTTTTAATTATTATTATATTTATTTTTTGCGGACCACCAAGCACCGGCTCGCGGACCCCCGGGGGTCCAGGGACCCCAGTTTGAGAACCATGGTTGTAGACTGATTTCATCTTCATATGAGGAATGACAGAAGTATCGCCATTTTTGTCATACCTTAAAAATAAAGTTGATCTCATAAGATATTACAGGATTTCGTTTTGTTAGCACTCGGTTTGTGATGGAGATGACTCTCAGCTACTACCACACACAGCGTTTTTTTTTTTTAAATGACTGAGCTATAGCCACTTCAGTGTTGGTAAAATTTAGTAAATGTGCCAACCACCCTGATTGGGTTGGCAATAAAAGTTGACAAGTTGCAGATGAACGTCCAAGGATTGTTTTCTGACAGTTTCAGTAAAATCAGTTCTGAAGTTCATTAATATTTTGTTAACATAGAAGACGCACGGACTCGCATACAATAAAAAAAACATTATTGCTCTTTTGCCTTTGATGATTGGCGATAAATAGGAATTGTGCAACGTGTTGGATTGCATTGTGCAAGATAATTTATTTATGGATCTTTTGTGCAGGCAGTTATTGGGAAAGCACTTGGTCAAAGCAAGTTTCCCCAAGTGGACAGTAACGTGTGTGGTATCGCAAATTATATCATATGTGTTAAAAATGTTGTTCAAATTGTAGCTGTAAAAAGGTCAAAAGCCCTGTTTACACATAAATGATCTCTGCAAATGTTGGTGTTTTTCCAGTGTTGACTAAGGCAGATCAACACAAAAAACACATTTACATGAAGAATTACAGTATTTTACTAACAGACAAAGACAATATCAGACAAAAAGTCGATTATATTAAATGTCTGTGAGTGTGGACGTACAGTCGTATAAATGTGATCCGTTTAGTGGAAAGCCTCAAATCAAAGGACCGTAAACGAGCACAAAGGACGGGGCGTTTAAAGACGCGTGTGCAGTTCAGGTAAAAGTTTGTTTTCGCCTGCAAGAATCCACTCTGCAGAAGCATCTGACAGCTGAAGGCTTTAGTTCTCTGATTCTTTTTGAAGCCGACCTGCTGCCCTCTGCGACAGCTCGCATGTGTCTGAGTTACAGCACGAACAAAATGTTTTTACAGCTTCCCCACGCGCACGGTGTGTGTGTGTGTGTGTGTGTGTTAAACAGCAAGGGAGACCTCTGCCATTGTTGAGCTTTTACTCGCCTGTCGAACTAAATATAACCCAGTACTTTCCAAATTTGTCATGTTTCGGGCTCTCTCTTGTTCCTCCAGAGCATTTGGATTCCAGCAATACCCCCCCACCGGAATGCTCAAGGGTCACGGAAGTTCACTTCCTGTTCCACGATGCCTCTTTGTAATGCAAAACAGTATGCTCAGGCGTCGTTAAAAGCTGGGACACCTGATGGAGGGAAAGGCCTGTTCCGTCATGTCTGTGAATCTCACGGCGGATGGCTCGGCCTGAACGGCGTCCGCGGATGACAGCAGGTTGTTTTCGCTCCATCTCAGACGTGAGCGGTTCTTCGCGGAACAGAATTAGGCCACGACGGCAACAAAGGGAGCTTAGAACCCGTGCTGCTGTCAGATCTGACGTTCTCGCAGAACGACGTGCGGCAGTGCTTGCACGCCTCAGCGTTCTGGTTAAACCAGAGGAGTTTAGTGTCTCTTTAAATAACCAAACAGCCTAATGGATATGCACGCTGCTTTGCAAACAGACTATGTAAACTTCCCAGACGAACTAGGCAAATACGTTATGTAAGTTCTCGAGTCAGGCGGCTTTTTGACGGAGCGCTTCAATAATACTTATCTGAACGATATGGCTAACAAATTTTGTTTAGTGGCTTCAAGTCAAATGGAAATATGTTTAAAGTGTTTTGCAGTGGCTTTTGTCCCGTTTTCAATGATTGTTAGACCTCGGCGTCGTCATATCAGGACACACGAGTCAGATGTTTTTCCGTGTGCCGCCAGGAAGTATCTGTGGTTCGCTTCACTCCGCCTCATGGATCTATTTCCACCTGAACAAGTGATCAGACTCATCTAAACTCTGGCTAAGACCAGCCGTGGCTCTTTGCCAGTTCTGGATTCTTCGTTGGACACATTCGTCCCTCCTCAGTTTGTCCTCTGGTCCAAACTTAGCCCAGACACCAATCCTATCGAATAGCTCCCATTTGCATCTTCTGGAGAAGGCCGAGCGACGTTTCTGTAAAGAAGACATTTAGTGTTCAATGAACAAACTCGTGCACGCTTTTAATTTTTTTATTTTTTACAAACATTTTAATACCTTAACTTCTTCTCAGGACATTGACGAACGCAATAGTTTAGATTAAAAAAAAAAAAAAAAAAACTGGACTTCTGTTCTGTTGTCGAAGACGTTTCATTTCTCAATTGCAAACCGAACACTGCGGACTTCCAAAATTCAAAACTGCACAAGAAGCTCGGAAATAAATACGTGTCGGAGCGTTTTATTTATTTCTGAAGCCGCGTTTTGTGAAACAATAATTATTTATAATAAAAAAAAAAGGCTATTTGTAACCTTTAACCTGGTGTCCTCTGTATTGGGCCTTCTGCTAGAGCTGCAGAAATGACAACTGTGTTGTGCGTTTAGGTGTGTGCGTTGTGTTAGTCTGAATGAGTTACGTATTTGTCTGGTTTGGACAGAGAGGCCTTGGTAGGACTTGTTTTATGTCCTGAGTAAGAAAAACAGTCGTGTCCTTGTGGACGGACATCTTTAGGACCATGGCAGACGTCATTCATGCGTGTGTTCCAGTCTGGCTCATAATGTGTGTGTGTGCGCGCAGACAGTTTGGCTGTTGTCCAGTTCAAACTGTCCATCGCTTGGAAGGCTGGAAGCGATGGACTCGTGGAAAGGGAAGGTGGACGTGTCAGGAGACACGACAGGAATGCCACCATCATGTGTGACAGAAGACGCACCAGTTTGACTGTCCAGTTTCAATTCAGTTCAGTTTATTTCTATAGCTCCAAGTCACAACAGAAGTTGTCAGGGCACTGAACAGAAACATTCACATACTTCATAAATTCCTATTAGTAGTTATCTAAGGAAGGAAGGAAGCCAGCATATTGAGGTGGGTCTTCATTTCATCGCAGTCTCCCATTCTGAGCTAGCACAAAGGCAACAGTGGAAAGGAAAAACTCCCTCATAACAGAAAGAAACCTCCAGCAGAACCAGGCTCAGGATAGACCATCTCATAAAGTACATCTCATCATATTTTTACAGTATCTGAAAATGGACGGGTTGATACATTTCAGCTGACGATCAATCAAACGGTATTTTCTATCAAATTAAACCATTGTTACTTGTGTGAATATTTCTATTAAAGCATTCTCACTATTGAGATCTGGTTTTCCTTCTATACGTTTTTTGGCACGTAACTCGTTCCACAATTTTCGTTTCATTTCAACAGTTCATGTATCAAAGCATTCAGCTCACCTATGACATTCCAGCTGTGACTTTTGGTATTTGTTCAATTTTTACTTGTTGAAATATTCAGCTTTTTCAACCACGTTTTCCTCATTGAAAACGTGTGGAGTTCTTGTCACATCCTTCAAACTCTGCTGTTTGAAAACTTTTACTGCTCATTTCACTTTTTGCTTTGGTTCAGCTCCTTTCAGCTATATTCAGGATTTTTCTGCTTTTACGGCTACTTTTTAAAAAAATGTATTTTTCAGCTAATTTCCGCCATTTTTTCTTTTTATTTATTCATTTATTTTAACTACCGTCAAAACCCCCACCAAAAAACTACCATACATTTCGCCATTTGAGCTTGTTTTCAATCATTTCAACTATTTATGCTTCTTTCAGCTTGCCTGCCAAAGTTTTAAACAGATCTTCTGTGATCTGTGTTGTGAAGTCTCAGCTATGGCCACACTAAATCTTAGCTCAAGTTCTGCAAAAATGACAAAGTTATAGTCATTGTTGTTGTTTAGCTCTGGTGGCGTCCTTTAAATAGGGTGACTCCAATTATTTATTAGCTGTAGGTGCTTATCTAGTGATAACGCTGCTTGTTTTTAATAAAACTAGGGATGCATGATATATTGGATTTTGGACCGATATGCCGATATGTTAAAACTTATTTGATCGATCTGTGATTTTTTTCATTTAACTTTAACGCTAATATCGATACAGATACCATGCCGATAATATCGTGCGTCCCTAAATAAAACCCATCAAGTAGTTCACGAGTTATTTTGCCAACAGGTAAATGAACACATGCGATCATATTATTATCTGCCTTTCATGGCGACTGGTGATAAATATTTATTAGAAAAATTTTGGATTTATTCGCTTCTGCTGTATTTATATAAATGAATAAAAACAGTTTTGATGAAATAATTATTATCTTTTCAAAGACAGTGACGAGGTAATTTTTTCTTATTTGTGAAAGAGAATTTAAACTCTTGATGGCAGGAGGACCCTTCTTCGGGTTTGGGTTTTTTTAGACAACAAAATTTCGTTTCAACTTGTAGGTGACTAATTTTTATTGGATAACATTGACACTAAAGCGCTGAACACATAATATACATCCCTTAAAGACTAACATTCAGAAGAGTATTTTTTTAGGGAACCTGGAGCTCCGGTGAAACCACGTTGATGTAGACTAATCTTAGAAAACCCATGATAAATGTGTCATACCAGTTTACAATAGTAAGTAGATCATTGTAGCTTGTTTTCTGTGACTCGGGAATACAGTTTCATTTTATGACATTCCTGCATGCCAACAGATATTGCCGATGAGTCACAACTGCAGTTCCTTAAAAGCCTTTGTTGTTTTGATTGATTCAAATCTGCATCAAACATTTGGAGACTTGCTTTTCTCTAAATCGTTACGAACGTCGTTTCTTTCTGACGCTAACCTGGACTCACAGCCTTACCTTTTTCTCCCCGTAGATCCATGTCTTATAGTGATGCCACCATGCATGGGCGAGGCCGACCGCTTCAGTCTGGAGGCGCTGCGGCACATCCACAAACAGCTGGACGACGACAACGACGGGGGGATAGAGGTCAACGAGAGCGTGGAGGTGAGCTTTTTTTAGAAACATTCAGCTGACATGGGTGCATGCACACTACTTTAAGGTTTCACTTTTAAACCGGACTAATTCTATTTATTTCCTGTCATTTGGCCGCCATGCTGCTCTACTCAGAACCCCAATGGTGTAGGGGCAGGGCAGCCAACTCGGGACCCAAAGGTCCTGGGTTCGAGCCCCGGTCATTGCACATCTCGTGGTGTCTCTGAGCAGGACACCTAATCCCGAATTGCTCCCTGGGCACTTGCATAGCTGCCCACTGCTCCACCTAGGTGTATCCCAGGTGCGATGGGTTAAATACAGAGAGCCAGTTTCGTCTTTGTATGGGAACATACAATGATGACAACACATAGCACTTTATTTATTTATTATTATTTATAATATGTTACCACCACAATGATAAACCAGCAACACCTTGCTATGGACATTTTGTACATGCTCTAAACTGTCAAGGACCCATCATGCCCATCAAGCCTAATGGAGTGCATTCATTGGGACTTCATTGGGACTTTGCCCACACCATCTACATTCTGGCTGCTTTTTTTTCTTGTTTTTTTGTTGCAGCAGGGCACATGAGCTTCCTAATCTACCTTTAAATTAGTTTTCTAGCAGAAATAATACTAAAATTGTATTAATTATTAATATTTAAATGTCCTTTGAAATTTACTACCATATATTTGTTGGTTACAGTAGAACCAGGAAATCCCTTCATATAATGTTTGGCATAATTGGGGATTAAACTAAACTTGTTGCCAGGCCAGGTGATAAATTTCCAAATTCCCACAAACTATGTTTCATTTGAAAGTTTCTGAGATGGAGATTTCAAATTAAATATAATTCAATTCAGAGAAAAAAATTCTTATTGTGATTCAATAATTTCCCAACACAGAATTCAATTTTGCCAGCACAGTCACATACCAACTGGTTGCAGGCAACTGTCAAGCAATCAGTGCATTTCTAGACTCAGGACATCCTGAAGGAGACCAAAACTAAACTATTAAGGGAATCACTTCAACTGTTAAGGTGTCTTGATAAAGAAATATTTTGTCTTTAACAAGCTATAAGCAGAAACGGGGATAAAGAACCACCTATACAAAGTCTGGATTCTAATTTTTATCTCTTCCATTTTTAGTTAGGAACACAACCTGTACGCTGCTGGGCTTAAAAATCATTTGTGTCCAAGCGTTTGTGTTTTCTCACCAACTGATTTTTACGTAATATTAAAGCTTGACGAGTTAGTGTTGACACAAAGGCACTTTATCCGGCACTTGTGTGTGGGAAGATTGGTTCATGCAGGACAAGTAAATATTTAGTTTACAATGCAAACAGCAAGTTCCAGCTTGTGACAGTCGGTTAGGTTACCAGTCAGATTATTTTAATATGTAGCTGTTAGTCATCACAGGAGGCAGCCAAGTCAGCATGTCTACAATAGTGATACATCATTTAACACACAGATAGGCTTTATTATGTAATTAAAATCAGATGGTAAAATGTGTTCAATTAGTTTTTGTGCTTTTGCCGTTCGAAGTACACCCTTGAAGATACTAATTGTAGCCGTCTATGAAGTAGTTCAAGCAGCGTTTGTGACAACACATCCACTGGAATGGGTGTGGCGAGAAAGCAGAAGTTTCTGTGAAGCGTTTTGACATCGGAGAGCCCCCGTGATCTCCTGCTCTTAAACTTCATGGTACCTCAGTCAGATCTTCTGGGTGCATCTGTTATCAGGAGTCACTTTTAAGTAGCGGAGAAAAGCTGGTGTGAGAGACACTTATACCCTGCAGCGCTGGTGGTGCCTCATCTCAGGTTGTGAGATGTTCTGTATGAGTCCTGTCCTGAGAACGCTAAGGGCTGCGGTATCAGAACTGGACCTTGGCTCATGTGGAGGGGATGCTTCCATCACTGGTGCCTGTATGTGTGGTATACATGGTGCTACAAGTTTTCCCAGCTTCTTGGTTTACATCGTTAACTTTATGAGGACAGAGTATTGTATGTCTTTTAGACAGGATGTTTTAGTCTCTTTTTGTCTGTTGTATTTTTTATTTTCTTGACATTTATTTTGTCTTCTCTTACCTTTTGATAAGTGAAGCAGATTTTTATATCCACGTTAGTTCATTAGCACTCTGTGATGGACTTGTAACCTGTCCACAGTGTACCACCACTCACATGGTGACTGCTGGAGATACTAATTCCCCATGACCTGGAAAGGAAAAGGGGTAAAGAAAACGGATGGATGGATTGTCCATGGACTGTTGTTTAAGTCTGCATCTCACTGGGCTGACTGTTGGCAACCTGTTTTATTCACAAAGAACTTTCCACAAATGTCTTGAAAATGTTTGCAAGGGTTGTCAATATCCTCGTATGAGTCAAAGAGGCCTCACGCTTATGTTGCTTGAATTTTTATGATTCGTTTCATAAATACTGGACCAGTTTAGTGAGATTCCAAGTGAAATTTTACTTTTTCGGTTGTAATTTCTAGTCTAGACATAAAACTAGCCACCAACCATTGCAGCTCATTGAGATGCAGGTTTTAGTGTCTTGCAAGAAAGATAGAATAGAATAGAGTAATCTTTAATGTCATTGCACAGCCCGAGCAATGAAATTTAAGGTGCCTCAAGTGACTATTAAAAAAAAGGAAAAAAGACAACATACAGGATACACAATGATTCAGTGCAGACATTAATGACCTTTATACACAAGAAACTTCAGTTCAGAAAACACAGAGGCATACTGGTCAGAAGAATATAGCTGAGGTAGTGGAAGCAGACTGAATAAATTGCACATCCTGTGAGTGGCCAAACATATTGCACTACAGGAAAATTGAGCTTAGGGAGTTTCGCAGGTATTTACTGTAGAGTCCGGATGGCACATGAGAAAAAGCTGTTTTTGAGTCTTTTTGTGCGGCTCTTATGCTTCTGTACCTTCTTCTGGAGGGCACCAGGCTGAGTAGGTGCTGACCAGAATGGAGGTGATCTTGGAAGACCCTCTTTTGCCTTGGAGACAACAGGAGCTGGCAATATTGTTGAGGGAGGGAAGAGGACATTCGGTTTTTCTCTCAGCAGTCTTGATGATCACCCGGAGGAGAGAAAACCAGAGTACCTGGAGGAGAAAAACCAGAGTACCTGGAGAACCAGAGTACCTGGAGGAGAAAAACCGGAGTACCCGGAGGAGAGAAAACAGAAGTACCCGGAGGAGAGAAAACAGGAGTACTCTGAGGAGAGAAAACTAAAGTACCTGGAGGAGAGAAAACCGGAGTGCCCGGAGGAGAGAAAACTGGAATACCCGGAGGAGAGAAAACCGGAGTCCCCGGAGGAGAGAAAACCAGAGTGCCTGGAGGAGAGAAAACTGGAGTACCTGGAGAAGAGAAAACTGGAGTGCCCGGAGGAGAGAAAACCGGAGTACCCGGAGGAGAGAAAACCGGAGTACCCCGAGGAGAGAAAACCAGAGTAATCTGAGGAGAGAAAACCGGAGTACCCCGAGAAAAGAAAACCAGAGTAACCAGAGAAACCCCATTTTTACCTAAAAATATGTAGATGAATACACATAGTTTATTTTAACCATAATAAAAAATAATCAGAAACTGTAAAACTAAATATTTATTTTATCAGACATGTTTGAAGGGTTGTCCTACATCAAATCTTGAATAAATCCACTCCACCTAACCTTTTCAGCCAGAAAACATAAAAAAACAGAACTTATTTCTCTATAAGATATTGACATAAAATTTTAAGGCAATCACACTTTTAATATTATTTCACAAGCACATAAAGTTTGACTACAGTTTTAGTTGTGTTATTAGGACTTCAATCTAGCCGAACTAATCCCTGCATTAAATACCCGTGTGAGTCTGTGGTGTTTAATGACATTTAGGTTTGTTGCTGAGCACGGTCACTGGGGGACGGCAGGTGCATGTCTTCGTCTCTTGGCTCGGAGCTGCCTGTCTGCCAAGGAGATGTTTGACCAGATCGTGTTGCATCCCTTGACTCACATGAATTCTAACCACAGACGAGAAGAGCAAGGGTTTTGGTTCTTCAGTTTGGTTCTTTATTAGTTTTTGTTAGGTTGAGACCTTCTTATCACCTGGGTGGCAAAACTAGGTCTTATTCGTGTGAGAATACTGTATACACACACCCTGTATGGACTGCTATAAACCAAAGACACTTGAGAAGGGTTAAGAAATACCTAGGGTATCTATAAAAAGATTATTTTTTTTAGATTGATTGTTGACTTGTCTGAGATTGTTCAAGACAGATCTTTTAAAGAGAAAATGTATTTATAACTAAAGGCCTTTGAACGTGTGACACTTCAAAAAGTGTACCAAAATACACAACATCAGAGTGAAGCAAATTCTTCAACATTTTTTTGTGCAATGAAATATCTGAGGCTCTACCCTGAGAGGCTGTCAAGAAAGCAAACGAAAGAGGTTTGGGACAGACTTCGTCCAAAAATAATCCTGAAAGCACAAGGAAACTTAGAAGAAACTTCGAAAGATAACAGAGCAAAAATATACACAAAGGAAAGGAACATGCCAAGATGATGCACAAAGGTTTGATAGCAGAAAACCAGTAAGGGAAAGACGGAGCTGATAACAAGAACATTAAGAAGCACATACTCAGTTTTAAACATTTTGTTGAATGCTTGATAATACCTATGAAACAAACAACACGAAACAGAATTAGGCTTTTGGGTAACCATCCTGCTGCTCTTGGGACCCAAAAAGCCTCAATTTTAACATTCGTTCAACCTTTATTTATACAGGTTAGTCTCATTCAGCCTCGGGGACTCATGTACAACAGAGACCTGATTTTAACAAAGAATGATGACCACAGTAGACAATCATAAAAGAAAGCATATAAATTGAAAAAATAAATGGAAGAAAATGAGCTATATTAAACAGCTACATTATAAAGCGATGTAAAATACTAAAAATAGGAACATGTCTGCATTGGTTTGTGCCACGAACTTAGCAGATGTTTGAATATTGGGATATATCGTAT